TTCTCTGCTGCCTGAGGACAGAAGAGTGATTTTCACATAACTATCAACTTTCATGGTGGTTCATTTTAGATTTTAGGTAAGATAAAAAAAAGTGTATAGCCAAAGAATGTCAGTGTTGCAGCTGCTATGCCTATTTGTCTGAAAACATCATGAAGTATTTCCAAAAGCATCACTGTGGTTTTGCTGAACAACATCAGTTTGTAGTTTACCGTCATTTCTCAAGGCTGACACACACACACACACACACACACACACACACACACACACACACACACACACACACACACACACACACACACACACACACACACACACACACACACACACTATATGACTATAGCAGAAAGCATTTCATTATTATTAAATGATAACTGTGTCTCTGTCACTGTGATAGAAATGGGACCCATGTAATAAGAAGGGCAGCATGTCTATCTGATTTGATGCACTGAAGCATCAGTCTGTGTCAAATGCTTAATCTAAACATAAAACATTGTCTAACAACATAATGTAAAGAGGTAACAGTGTTTGAGTTGTGACGTCTATTTATTGTGTTGCAGCAGTATCTAATGAAATTAGCATGTTAGCGGACTAGCACCGACATGTCCTGTCTTGTTATACCACTGAGCTAACAGCTTGCTAGCTGACAGCACATCGAATGGAGAATCTCTGGACATTATGATCCAGTTTCACCAAAATGGAATGATTGCTCATGCACTTCTTCACCAAAGATAACTTAACGATTAATAAAATTACAAAATACCCTTACTAATTACTCAGCCTACAAATACCCTTACCAGTCAAACCCTTGGTTGGTCTGTAGGAGTCAGGACTGGACCAAACTGAGCGTTTTACACCCGGCAGGAAACATGCCTGACTGAGGTCAAGCAGGGGGAACATGTGTGTGTGTGTGTTTGTGTGCGTGTGCGTGTGCGTGTGCGTGTGTGTGTGACAGAGGGAAAGAAGAAAGGGAGCCTGTGTGTTTGCGTCCTCATGCATGGAGTTATGCTTGTGTGTGTGAGAGAGACCAGAAAGTAGCCCGTGCGTAGTGTTCGAAGTACAGCTGCTCGTCACTGAAGGGAGCCAGATGAATATCTCCAGAGGAGGGAAACATCAGACCTGGAGAAAGAGAGAGGTCGGAGAGAGAAAATTAACAATAAAAGTCCATAGTAAATGTTTGATTAGTCAGTAAGCTGGGTCGATATTAAGACATTATTAAACCACTGGATCAGCAGTTTCTGAAGGTTTGCATTGTTCTCTGTTCCTACCATGGGGTTTGAGCCATTTTTTGGCATGCAAGAAGCTCTCCACGAGTCTATCACTGAGCAGCATGTGTCCCATTGGCTCAGAGACAAGGACATCTACCAATTCAGGACAGCTGACCTCCTCCACCTTGCCTTCTAGGATCTCGATCCGATCAGACAGACCGTTACTCTGGACCAGGATCTGCACAGAAGACAATTCAACATTACAGGACATACTGTTTTTTCAGACAGACTTTCAAAATAAGGACTCTAGATGTGTTGAGCAATTTGTGATTACGTGCCGTGTAGCAGGTAAATCTGACTCTGTGCAGATATGATCCCAATATGTCGGTTTATGCACCAGCATCTCTCTGCAGTCTTTGGGCCAGATGTTGCCGCAACCCATTAACTCCCCAGAATGCCACGCTCTGCATGCGATGTATGTACTCTGTGTGTGCTATCTAGTACATTGCTGTGGTTTCTCTTCAGGCTCCTTCTAGGCCAAGACACACAGCATTTCTCTCCAAACCAAACTCCAAAGTTATTGTTAAGGCTTTATTTTCTGCAGTTTTAAAACCAGTGTACAATAGAGGTGAAAGTATCTGACATCTAAAAACAAAGATGGAGGACCTTTGCATATTTGGCCATGGGGCTGGATTCAACAGTGTACACCTTGGTGGCCCCTGCCTGGAGAGCAAAGAAAGACAGCATAGCAGAACCACAGCTCACATCCAGAACCACCTACACACAGCAAGAGAGGGAGGACTGGTGAGCTTTTAATGACAGTATTCAAACATGTAAATACACATATATATATATATATATACACTCTTTTTGTTATAATGTACTGTAAATAACCTTAAGTTAGAGTACATTTCAATACAATAATACTATTTGTACTTGATTACAACATGATTTTGCTGTACACATCTGATATTAACAGAGTGGAAACCAATGGGCTGTAGCGTTAGCATTAAAATGGATGGACATGTATGTATTGGGAATCCCGTGAACACATGTGTTGTCACCTTGCCTCTGAAGTCACTCTCGTTGAGTAAAATAGCTTTTTGGTAGGTGGTCGTCCTCGGGTAGTCCTGAAGTAGGACCTGCTGTTGGGACAGACAGCTGTGGAACTAAACACACACACAACAGTGAAAACGTTTAATTAGTTTGTATCTTTTTACCACAAAGTCCAAATAATTGATGGCTTACCTGGTAGTCCTGTGTTGGGGCATCCTCAGTCCTTGTTTCCAGCATCATGAGATGTCTAGGTGTTTGGCCTTCATCCTGGTTGCCTCTCTTCTCTACTTCTGCGCAACCTTTCCTTGTCCCTTCATCATCTCCTGTCCTCAGTAACTGCTGGAAGTTCTTCATGTCTGATAGTCGGAGAGGACAGGAAGTTGTACATGTTTGAACACCTTAACCAAATCCCAGGATGATTGGCAGTATGGATTATAGCATGTGTTGTACAAACCAGTTGGAGTTTTGAACTGCAGCAGAAGACTCAGCTTGCCTAAGGTGACCAGGAAGGACTGTCCTCCCACCTGGCAGCAGTCCATCTCCTCGGAGACAGTGAACTGGAAGACAGATGTTCTGTTGGCTGGAAAAGACACTTTGAAACCCTCAGATTAATAACACCAAATATAACAAACAAAGATCAACTTGAGGTCATTATGTTGTTTTTCTAACACTCCATTTCCGGTTGGGTTCTGGCGTGTGTGTGTGTGCGTGTGTGTGTGTGTGTGTGTGTGTGTGTGTGTGTGTGTGTGTGTGTGTGTGTGTGTGTGTGTGTGTGTGTGTGTGTGTGTGTGCGCGCGCGTGTGTGCGTGTGCGTGTGTGTGTGTGTGTGTGTGTGTGTGCGTGTGTGTGCGTGTGTGTGTGTGTGCTCACCGTCCTGCACAGTGAGCTGCTGCACCTCCCGTCCCGTGGTGAGGAGCAGCGTGAGCTCCTGCTCCGCCCTCTGTCTGCTCACACTGACCTGCTGCTCTCTGCTCACCTCCTCCTGCAGCTACTCCTCATTCAGAGCACAACACACTGCGTTAAACCAAACTACACACCAGATGTAGGGAGATATCATTTAAGCAGTTTGAATCCACAGCGTATTTCATTCAAATGCATCAGTTCTCCTAGTTGAGAAAATACATACAGTAAGTGGTAACTTCCACTGTTACCTCCTCGTGTGTCTCCATGTGCTCCTCCTCTGCCCTCAGCTCCTCCTGCAGGGAGAAGACTCGGACAGGGAAGGACTCCTCACTCTTCTCCTCCATTCTTCAGTGTGGAGGGAAGCTGCTCTTCAGGAAGAAAGAAGAGAAGAGAGCAGAGGGGTGGAGATGGAGGAAAAGGGGAGGAGAGATGGGGGAAGGATTGGGGAAAAAATGGTTTTCCTGCTTTTTGGGATTATTTTTGGGGATCACTTCATGGATGTGTAATTACATGACTATTAATAAAAAACAGTCGGACACCCCTTTAAATAAAACACAAGTACAACCACTGTATAACCAAACATGTAGACACTATTTAATGAATGGTGTGTTAAAAGGAATTTGTTGCTGGGATAAAGAACATGATTGTGATGGAAATGAGGTCTTTCAACAGAAACATCGCCTCAGTTTAGTTTGGGATCAGAGCTTTGAAGAAGAAGAATGTATGACAATTCATGTTTTTAACTAATTCAAATGCAACTTTGTGTCACACATCATGAGGTCAGCTCATATACAGTGACAGAGCTCCCTCTGCTGGATGTGTAGCCTCACTGCAGGAACACAGACGAGCATCACTTTATTAATATACTCACAAAGCATGTGTGCTGTGCGTAAATGTCTCTATGATTGTGAGAAATAAGGATAATTATGTTACTACGTCGATTAAGTCATTAAATAAAATAAACGTTGCATAATGTTTTGTTAGACTAATAGTGTGTTTAACTCGTTTTAAAATATGTTTTGTGATAAACATTTTCAAGCTAAAGGTTGTACCAAAGTAAATCCTGCCAACTTCTACGGATACAAATCACATATTTAGTTATTATTATTATTTATCAGAGTTCTGAAATATATTATTATTATTATTAATATACATCAAGGCCAATTCCTCAAATGTGAAAACCTACTTGGTAACCTGTTTCTGATTCTAAATACTTAAGTATACTGTATTAGACTATTCATGACACTTTTTAATAACTTGAATTTCAAAAATGTTCACTCTCATGCCGGACCATGTACTTTCAAATCAAATCAAATGAAGTTTTATTTATATAGCACATTTATAAACGATCTTTGGTCGAGCCAAAGTGCTGTAAATATAACAAAAATAGCCTACAGTAGAGACACTTTATTGGATTTATGAGTTTTAAAAGAGCCTGACACGTACATGGATGTAAGGACCCCTACGTTATTGTAGCCTGAATCATCCCAACTATCTGAGGTATACCAACCCATGAAGCGGGATACTTTAACACATTCTATTAATACACATGTACTGGAAAATGTCCTTGGTAAATATACTGTAGGTTCATCTGAGGTTGAATATTTACCACCTTGCGTTTCAGAAAGGGCTTTCATTCCACTCTGAGAGGGCGAGTCTGAACAGGAGGTAAACTTACTAATACTACGCTGTAAAAATACTCTGGTAAGTAAAAGTCCTGTATTGGAGATGTTACTCAAGTAATAGTAAGCAAAATGTAGTTAAAGTATTACTCGTAAAAGTAAAATGAATAAAACAATCAAAACTCTTCAAAAATAAATTAGAAAATGACTCAAATGTTTATAAATGCCAATAAATTATATTTGAATGGGCTAATTCATTCATTCTCAACACTTTTCCTGTATAAAGGGTTGGCTAGATTAATTTAAAGAACACACCGTATCTTTTATTCTTCTGTTTTTTTTTCTTAATTTGTGAAATAACAAGTAAATAAAGCTGTAAGATAAGTAAAAAGTATATTTCTTCAATTTAAAGGGGCCCTATTATGCATGGCCAATACTGCATGAACTCAATATCAGAAAAGATACTGTAAGGTAATACACGCAGCACGCCCTCTTTCCTTATAACGTAAAGTATTTTTGTTTTACTTGGGCAGAAATGGATTTAAGCACAAGCATAAATACAGGTGACAGACTTCAAAGCTTATTATAGTGCGTGTATTATTATTATAGTGACAGTGGCTCACCCTATAGACTGTACTCACATAGATTTGCTGCTGAAGTTCACATGGCTTAAATGACTGCCTTATACAGCACTCTGCCACAGTGTCTTTCTATATTGAATTTCACCTGTTCTTCATTCCTGACAGAGAGGGCTGAGGAGCACACACACACAGGAAGCATTAAGCAGACATCATGCTATCAACACACACTGATTCTTCACTAAGTCGGCAACAAATATAAAAGCAAAATGCATCCATGATTGCTAATGCTTATAAAAGTCTAATCTATGTCAGAGAATAAGTAATAAAATCAACAACAAATTGTGTCTGAATGTACAAAACCAATTTGACCATGATACAGTATATCATTGCTCCTCTGGACAACATCACACATGGTTTGCACACAGGTTCCTTTACAGAAGTCCAGAAATCTGATCCCAAATCAGCCCTGTTGTATCTTGTATTCAGTCCACAGTCACAGTCAACCCCGGATCATGTGGTGAGTCAAGTCAACAAGGCATCTTTTCCTTGGGCACACATCTCAAAAGCCCCCTTAAGTACAAAGGTCCGCTGAGCAGCAAAGGTTCGACTTGATCCATCCTGCTCATCCTTTCAGATCCTCTGCGCTGCTTTCAGGATACACAGAACCACGGCGGTCAGCAGCAACACTGCAGCGATCAGTCCATATCGAACCCACGGGACATTGTCTGGGGCGGCTTGAAGGAGGGAAGGGAGTGATGGATGGAGGGGGCACATTAAAAAATGCAACACAGTATACTCTTTATATTGAAATGTCGATAAAGTGAAAATCTACCTGTGTCGACTGGAACTTGGGCCAAAAAGAATAAATAAAAAAAGGTTAAAATTAGTATTTGTATCTACATCTGTAAACAGTCCCATTAACATGAATCTTGCCATCAGAACGTTTTGTGTGATTCTCATGCTAACCTTCGTTTGGACCTGATGTTTGCGTCTCCTCAATGGCTTCCATTGGCTGCAACACTGTCGTGACTTTAAAGACATCAGACACACATAAAAAGACGGAATAAGAATGATGATAAATTGCCCTAAGGTTAACGTTTAGCATCTTTCAGCTAATTGTTTCGGTTTTATCGATAATTGCGCTGATTATTAAGGTCTAAGTATGTTTCTAAAATATACATAACTAACTGGGTTTACCTTCAATTGGCTGTGTAGAACCTTCCAGAAGAACATGTATAGGATCTGTGACAGTCACTTCTTCTGTCGTAGACACTATCGGCCAGTGTGTTGTACTGACCCAGTCCTCTGTTGTTCCTTTGGTCTCATCAGTGGTAACAGCCCATGGGGTATCTGAAAGATTGGCTGTAAGATGGTGCATCATTTTCTCATAATGACATACAGTATATTGTGTAGCTGCAGTGAAAAGAATAAGAAAGAATGTTACCAATATCTGTCGTGGTCGTTTCCACTACCGTCAGTGTGATACTCTCTGGTATCCCTGGCCTTGCATCCTCAGTATCGCTGAAAATACCAGAAAAGCGAAAGTTATTTCCATCCTAAAAGACATTTTTAACTTGGATTGCATTTTGCAGTCCCTGACATCTCCTTAACCTATTCAATATTGTGGTAAATAGATGTAACAGATTTAATTTAGCAGATAAAGCACTCCATAGATCTTACCTGGTTTTATACAAACACTGGTATTCTCCACTGTCTGTCATCCTTGTTGGGATTATATCAAGTTCAAAGGATTCACGAGAGTTGGAAAAAATCCTTCTCCGATAGTCACCCATAGACGTCACAGCCTGTAAGGGAAAAGAGATGATGCATTATTTTTGCAATAATCCCAAATCCAATGGAATAAACCCATAAGGAAGGACAAATAAGTAATCAATTTACTATTATAATGACAGTAATTTGTCTCAGGTCACAGGTAAAACACACCTGGACATCTATGAAAATGTTCATCTCTAGGGCATGCATTATAGTCCATCGGCAGTGTACGGTACCCCAGGCAGCGACGCTATAGTCAAGCCGTTCCAGGTCCACCAGACTAGCATGTTGTTGGGGGACTGCTCTCTGGGCATCGGAATATAGCATGGCAGAGCCGACGACTTGTCCACCGGCACCGACATGGAGCGCTCGACATGTTGCACTGTGGGAAAAGCAGAGAAACAAAAGGATGTGAAGGAGATGGAGTCTACACATCCATGACGGTAACCTCTTTCTCCCTCGGACTCACCATTGACTGTGAGCCACACTGTTGAAATGGTTTTCCTCCCTTGCCATATGCACTCGTACATATTTGCGTCACTGAGCAAGGCGTGAGAAAGTACGAGCGACCAGTGTCCTGCCCTGCGGAGCTCCTCTGAGGGCAGGCGGAATCGGCCCTGAAAGGAAGTGTGAAATGACACAGGGTTAATAGCTCCACAAAGTTATGGTTGATTTCAGATTCTACTTACTTTAAATCTGTCTGCTTGTATTAGCTCCTCTCCCTGCAGAATTGCCACGTCCTCCCCCATCGCCTCCCACCACAGACCCCCCTCCTCCTCCTCCAGGTAGGCTGAGGCGTTACAGGGCAAGGTGAGCGACTCCCCGTACTCCACCTGAAGGTGATGCATCTGCGCTATGCGCAGGGCTGGATGGAAGGAAGATTGATAACAGTAGCAGAGCGTTACAAGGAAGAAGGGAGAAGAGAGGAAGGAAGGGAATAGTGATGAAAAGTTAGATAAGAAAAGAAGACGGCATGAGTGACAGGAACACAAAGGGATGGGGATGGAAAGAAAGACAGAGAGGTAAGGATGTACGATGAAAAGGAGAGTGATTTTATTTTTGAAATCTTTGCAACTGAGCTTCTTTTCCTCTCTCTAATCGTTCAGGCTTTAAAATGCCATGTCCAAATGTACTTTACGGGTATATTTAAAAATGATGTCATTAGAGATGTGTTTCATTGACGTGATAAAGACTTACAGTCGCAGAGCCGCCCACACTGAAGGAACAGCATCATCACCATCATACACACAGGCACCATCTTGGACAGTGCTGAAACACAAACGCATCATTAAACTCTGAAAGGCAGATTTGAAAACAACAAGATGAACTTGGAAACCAAACACCTTATTTTCTTTTTCAAGCACCTCATAAAGAAGTGTGGTGATTTGTTATGTCAGTTACGCGCTTCAAAACACCTTTCAAATGAAGTTCAATAATGTACAGTCTTTTGGCAATCGTACATTTCTTTGTTGATAGAAGTTAAAAGTCATTTATACCTTGCACCTTTCTAATTATATTACCATTTAAAGGGGTGTTTGCAATACATGCCAACATTTACCGATTCACACACTGATGACACGGCTGCCATACAAGGTGACACACGCCTCATTATATAATCTGACGCTCACACAAACTCGCATACGACATGCAGACCAGAGGAGGCAGAGATCGATCCCAAGAACTTCTGATTAGTAGACGACTCTCGCTACCTCCTGAGCATGCAACAGCAAAGGTCCTTTTCTTAAAAATACGTATATTTCCTACTCATGCAATTACCATTTTTCTAAAAGTTAAACAACATTTGAACTGCTACAAAACTAAAGATTTCAGATTAGCTAACATTTGACAGATTTTTGTATCATATTGTTGTGCCACAAAAGGAGGAATTGGAACACCAACATAGAGCTAAAACTAAAATGTGCTCTTACCGGAAAATGTTGACGAGATGAAAGAAGATGAGAGATGTGTGTGTGCCCCTCCGAAACCCCTGTGTGTGTACGTGTGTTCTCATGTCACAGCTCGGTGTATGTCTGTGTGTTCTCCTGTTACATGACATTCTTTAAATCTCAACGGCAGCACATGCGTCCTTCCAGTGCTGCGTGAAATCTTAAATCTATATGGCAGATTACCATTTACTGTAGATTTAAACATGTTAAGGTTAACACACGAATAAGATAACATACAAAGTGACAGAAGCAAATAAAGTCAATGCACAAAACCAGAAATAACAGATAAATGAACCCTCATTAGGACCGGTAGGTTGGGTATACTACCACAGAAATATGTACAGGGTGACAGAGGTTATGTGTCATATGCACCTGATCAGTGTTTCTGGAATATGACACACACGAGGCCTATGCTTCCACCATATGATGTGAATCCACACTGATGATGCCTTCAGGCTCCAAGGGAAACACTTCATACAGAACCATTAAAGATATGTGTTCCTGTTATTGCAGCCTGTCTGAAAGATGAGCTAATACAAAATATAAATGTTATAATAATTAAACAAATAGACTTGAAAACTCTAGATATATGACTCTGAAATGGACACTATGTAACCTTTTCACATTCCTCTGTACTTTTGCATATTTTAACACAATGCAACCAATGTTATAAAATGCAAAGCTCTTCCACTTTAAATTCTGATATACAGCACATATTTTATTTTTCTAGATCATTTCTCCTATTCTTCTGTACTTCCTTTTATTCCTTTTTGTTTTTTTTATGTATTTAAAAAAAAAAGTGTATTGTTATGCTTTTTATTTATCTGCTTATTTCATTGTTCAGAATATAAACTTTTAGTTTTACATACAGTGTTAGCAAATCACTATAAAAAAGAAAAGAAACAACTAAAATACAAAATGAAATTAAAAGAAAACCAAAATCAAAGCAGTAATATATTTCAAGTTAGATTATATCTGATAACAAAGCAATGGCTCATGCAGTTCATTTTGGAATCTATATTAGTTACACATTTTAGTTCTATATTTGCTACTTTACTTATGTGTTTATGTGCGCACCGTTAAGCAAATTCCTAGTATGTGTAAACCTTAGAAACAGCAGCAGCGCCCTCTGCTGTTTGCTGAGAGACGTGTATGAGTTACTCACCAACAATGAAACATTATTATGAAGCATGCACGAGTATAAAAGCATCAGTATATAAATGTATAATTATCATCAGCTGATAGTATTCTGTTTTACCTGGATGATGTGATCACTGTATGTTTTTTTTTATTTTGTTCACACGCATATCATAAATGAACAACACCTCCTCATTTAACCAGTTGCATCTTCTTTGTGTTGTGTCCTGTGTTTACCTGATGATTAGCAACCACTGGCAAACCTCCTCTTCCTGACCTTCTCTATCCTAACTGTCTCCATCGGCTGCTCAAACATGAGGTTGAAATCCAGCAAGTCCAGCTTGAGTTGACACTGATAACATGAAAGTGACAGAGAGACATATGAACTTGAAACACTTTTTAATTGTAAATCAATCATGTAAATGAAGATGAATGAAGCTGCCGCTGTAATGCGAGACAGCTTCACAAATCAGCCTGAATAAAGATCCTGGAGAGGAAAATATGACACCAACATTGATTAATAAGTAGCTGTAGCCATTGACAATGACTAAAGATAATGTGATCAATTATACACAATAAAAAAAATACAAACATGACCTACCAGAATGATGCCGCATTCATGTTAAGGGGGAATGACCAACATCCACATCCCTGTGAAGGTCTTGTACACACTTTATTTTAACCTGGCCAGCTTAATCTCACAAACACACAAAATAAGTCATGGTACATTTCAGGTCTTTTTGCAAAACATCACTGAAAAATCTCCCTCCATTGCACTACGATCAAAACATGGTTATACATTTTTTCCTACAGTTCAACACTAATATTTCCTTTAGTTCCATCTTTACTCTTCACAAGCAGTACAGATGACCTGATGGCTAAAGTGAGCAGTGTTTTCCACTAGGAAGTTCATATCTCCCGTCTTTCCCACGGGACGTGAACGCAGCAATGGACACTAAGTTTCCTGTCCGTCTTATGAAATGCTCGTCTACGGGACATGGCGGCACCCTCGGGTCCCGAACCCTTTCTCAAAGCTCAGAGCGTGTTCCGCTCTCCACCGATCGCTTCATGATGAAATGTCTCTTCTCACTGCTCCACTCCGGGCGTGAAGTCGGGGCGCCGTGTCTGGATGATCTTCGGCCGCAGGGGGCGGGGTTTGTCGTCTTGGTCACTGTCGTCGGGGGCGGAGCTGTCGCCTCGCTCGTCATCGCAGACGTGGATGACGACACTGGGGGTGGTGGGGGTGGCGGTGTGGAGCTCGTACTTTTCCCCTGGGAGAAGAAGTACAGGAGTCATTATGCATGTCATCTTTACAAACCTTAGTTGGCCCAATACAGCACCAGGAGGGTTCCCTATATTCATATTACCCAGACAAATAATAAGAAATGGAAAGTATAGCATTACTTATACTACGTAAACATTATTATTGATAATTCATTGTTTGTAAACAGCAAAATAACTGAAGTGGAACAAGCTATTATGATAAGGTAAGTGTGTGACCTGGTCCGAGCTTGGAGATGGCACACAGCAGGTCGTAGTTGACGACGGGCATGGCATCCTTAGACTGCTCCCAGCCCACCGGGGGGGAGGCGGGGGGCGAGATCAGGAACTGCTTATCCGGCTTGGGGGGCTCCAGCCGAGGACTGCCTATGTGGACAGACTGCAGACACAGTATAAAAGAGTGGTGGTTGGTTAGATCCCTACAAAAATGTCTAACAAAACCCATGAGGGATTTACTGTGCTCTGTAGATCAGTGCAGCATGTGCAAGCGATGCATTTTAAGACTACCTGAGCGAAGTAAAGTCTCATCTCTTTGCCCTTGAAGTCGGTCTTGTGGAGTCGCAGTCTGGCCTCGGCTGCAGCCAGTGCATCGCTGAAGCTGATCCTCACTCTGCGGAAAGATTTGAAGTACTGGAACTGCACCTCCGGCTCGAAGGAACGGAACAAGGCCTCAAAGCTGCCCTGCAGACACAGAGAGGGAGAGAGGGGTGAGAACAGGAAATACACAATCTCACCCACACATTTCCAAAGACACATACACACACACACTTCTCCCTCAGAGGCTTGGGAGCTCAGTGTGTTCACAACAAGAGAAAATACTGATCTGTTGCAGAGGCAGCACACAGCATGAAAATGTCTGCCAACACTATAAAGACAATGTTAAGAGGTTAGCATGCTAACAGCTAGCCTGTAATGTATTAACTACAGCTGCATACAGGACACAACAAATTATGAATGGAAATGAATGACCCGTAGTAGTCGTCAGTTTGAAAATACGGAAAAAAATAGCAATTCCCCGAGTCATCTTTTCCTCCTGCAGTGCAGCAGAGGAGCTCTGACCATGCAGTGAGTCATGATCGAGTCAACGGAGGAAGGAGCTCAGCTCACTCACACACTTTAAACCCAATATGCTTATGTGGTGATAATCTGCAGGGCCCCTAGAAAAGAAAATCAGCAATGCACAATAGAAGTCCAACCCTACAATCTGCCTACCTAATTTATGGACTGGACATAAGTGCACACACCATGATAACCACACAAACCGCTTCAATTGAAGTGTTTATTAAAAGAACCCCTAGTTTGGATTTGGTTCCAAAAAAACTGGATCCGACGTCTCCCATAATGCAAGCCAACAGCCTATTTTCATCACCCTTCCCTGCCTGTTTAATGCAATTCATTTGTAATCACTAAGCCAAGGCCAAGATAACACCAGTGACATCACTTTGACATCATCAGGGTTGTTTGGTGTTTGTAGAAAGATTTCCCAGAGCCAGATAACACATCAATCTGAAATGGTAATAAGCTGCAGCCTTGTTCAAGCTTGTTCCGCTTTATAGAGAAAAACTGAATGTTTTCTTGGAATCGTTTGGCATTGAAATAGTTGATTGATATCCAAATGTTCATCCCATTTACACAAAAACACAGTTGCCGAATCAAAGAACCAAGTGTGTCTTTCTCTGGAGCGTTAGCATTAAACCTGCTGCTCTCTGTGGTAATGTTTTTGAGCGTAACCATCTGTAGTATTGCATATATTATCTTTCTGCTTAGGGAAAAAATGCTTTGACTTTTTGGGATTATTTTACACCGATTACAATGTTCTGTTCAAAGCACAGGATGCAGCAACGGTTTCCTCAAAATAGATGTGCAGATCGTGGAAGGGGATTGGAATGGCCAAATCGACGTCGCCAATAGCAGGCTCAGTTTAGCCGTGTACATCCAGTAAATATCCAAATACATAGAGTGAGTGCCATTCATTTCAAAGACCGTGGTTTGCAAAGGGAACACCTGATGCGGGCTGCTCTCTTACCTGTGCCTCGGGACGGCTGAACACTTCCTGGTTGCTCACCGAGGCGACCAGGCAGAAGCGGTTACACTTGGTAGTCTTGATGTGCATGATGGGGGACCCAGGGAGGCGGAACCTTCTCCACCTGATACCTGAGGTCAGGGCACAGCGGGACGCCGACACTATCTTCAGGCGTTGTGAAGGCGGCGGCGGTGGCGATGAAGAGGAAGGGGGAAAGCGGGGAGAACGGAGGAGCGTTGCCTTCCCCAGGGTGGCAGAAGAGAAGGAAGGAATAGATGCTCTGTAAGGGGAAACAGCTGCCTCTCACACGTTGATCTTCTTCTGTGGTGGAAGAGCACTCGTTTATGTCCTCCCAGTGCACAGTGTTAGAGATGCAGTAGCCTCATACCCCACATTCCAAGGTTATCTCGTCTGAATCTCCGGAAATACACAATCCAGCATTCCCTTTTCTTCTTCCTGAGTCTTCCTCGATGTGTGTTAGCTCTGCAAAATGAGGAATTTTCCAGAGATTTGGGTGTGGAGAGCCTGTCTCTTCTCAGCTCTCTTTCTCTCCTCTCTGTCCTACTGCTCCACAGCCACTTAAATGAGCTCCAGCCAGGCGATGACGCATTACCCACAATCCCCTCCCTCTCCATGTCCTGGTTCCATTCATTCACTGCAAACCAATCAGCTGTTGTAGAGGGAGGGACCACTTTTTGTTTTTCTCTTCCTTTGCCTGTACTGACAGATACTAGCCAATGCTGAATGATCACACAGAAAGAAGGACATTGTGTGTTCACATACAGATACCGGAAAATAATGACACCACCGCTTAGCAAACTGACCCATTAATCGGCTTTCTGTTGCATTTGAAAATCCTTTGTCGAATGGAAAATGCGTAACAAAGAGCCTTTCAACTCTTAATTTCACACACACACCAAAAACGTATCAGCTGACCTCTGAGAGCACGGAGCAAGACGGAAAGGAAAAGACTTGTCAGCAGAGTTAATATGGATGAAGCTGAGACAGCTGACAGACAGGGGGGGAGATGGCAGATAAAGAGTGGAAGGAGACATAAGAAGAATGCAGGATGGAGGGACGAAGGGATGAAAAGCAGGAGGTGGTGCGCATGGAAAGTATGCAGTTTGATAACACGCTTTTATGAGGTATTAATAGCAGAGAGCTTGAAGTGGGGGGGAGTGTGTGTGTGTGTGTGTGTGTGTGTGTGTGTGTGTGTGTGTGTGTGTGTGTGTGTGTGTGTGTGTGTGTGTGTGTGTGTTTGCAGCCGGCAGTTGGAAAAATAAGACCAGGCTGTGCAGACACCAAGGTGTGTGCGTATGTGTGAGTACTTAAACACAGAAGAGGTTCACACAGCAGAGACGAAGTGTCGTTATGCTGGATTTAACGCAAGAGAACCCCATATTAAATGTAAAGAAGCATAAAAGAAGAATAAAAAAGGAAGCAGCATATTAGAAAAAGACCCAGTAAACACACCATAGCAACACCTTATTTTTTCCTTATTACATTACATTGCATTTAGCTGACGCTTTTATCCAAAGCGACTTACAATAAGTGAATTCGATCAACAAGATACGAACTTGAAGAAAACAGAATCATATAAGTACATCAGGTTTCATAGAGCCAAACATTTCAAGTGCTACTCAACTGGTTTTAGATAAGCCAGTCCTTAGTTAGTATATAAGTGCTTTGTTAGTCATTCTATCGCATCGAAGTGGAGTCGAAAGAGATGAGTTTTCAGTTGCGCCGGAAGATGTGCTAGCAAAACCCA